AACATTCTGGAATCCTTTCCCTCCTTTGTTTTCCTTAACAAAATGTGGTTATTTAAAAAATACTTTCTGTCACTTGAATATTACTGTTCTTCAGGATTTGTAATTTTTCACCTGAATCCCCTTGCTTATGCTCATGTCCTATTCGTAACCTCATTCTGAATATTCTTCTTCCTAAATTGGCTACCTCTTTTCCATTGCTTCTCTCAGTGTTAATTGGAAAATTTACCATTTTCCCTATTCTGGATTACCTGCAAGAATTTTCATCTTCCATGATGCTGATAGCTATATTGACTTTTTTTGAAAAAAGTTTATTTATTTATTTTGAGAGAGAGAAAGAGAGCATGCGCAAGCAAGGAAGGGGCAGAGAGAGAATAAAATACTACATGATGGGGTAAAAATGAAAAACACTGTTCTGTGGAATCAACTATAAGCACATTAAAAGCTAATACAGTTCAAGATACTATGTACTGAGCACAGTTCAAATGAGTTATATGCATTATTTCTAATCCTTACTCAGCTATCTTTCATTGGATGTCTGTTATAATCCAAACACTGAAATAGACACATTTTATTCAAATTATCCTTTGTCTATATAAAATGAATTTATTTAAATCTATTTCCTTATTTTTTAAATAAAGTCATTTAAGATGATTTCTAAATGGAAATCTAATAAATGTTACCTATGTTTTATTAAATGTTGAATACAAGTTGGGCTTTGTTTTTAGAGTAACTGAACTACAAAGCTAATATAAAAATAACACAGCTCACATGATTTGAAATTACTCAGTAGTTTTTCCTGTGAAATATTATCCTGGTAACATCAGTGCCTAATATTATGGTTGCAATTGTGCACAATGATATAAATGGCTCCATCATAGTCCCTGAATACTAGGGTTCTTGGATCAAGAATTTAAAAGATGACAATATCATGTGAGATGATCATGATTCCTGATTTCAACTTTTAACTTTATGAAATTGTGTGTGTGTGTGTGTGTGTGTGTTGTAAGTAAGCAGATTGTCCTTTGACTTGCTACTTTGGACAGAATTTTAACAGCGTATTTATAAGTGAAAAACTAAGGCACATACCATTACCTTTTGAGTCCAAATTATAGCTTCTTATTCAAATTTATCCATAATTTAATATTTATATTAATCACTTTCCTAATAAAATCCAAGCATTTTGTATTCAGCATATATAGAAGCAAATTGACCTCATAGAGAGTTTTTTTGCTTCTATTTTTATTCATTTAAATTTTCTCAAGACTGAAATGAAACTATCAAGTCATTTTCTCTTACAAAATATAAATGCACAATAATTAGGGACCCAGAGAATTCTGAGAAGCACAGGATTAGCCATGCAGTAATGCGAGCTCACATCTGCAGCTAGTCTAAAAATGTCACACAGACCTAATTCTGCTTCAATGCAAATGAAATTTGTTTCTTAGGCTTTCAACATGGAAGTAAATTGGTGACTGTGTTTGTTTAAACCCATTTATGACTTAGTTTTTTATTGTATCTTTTTTTGACTAGGCTACTGGGAAAATAATGCATATGTGCAGGTGTATACTACTATAAATTTGTGACTTACAGCTACAATAGTATTTCAATGTTGCATAGTGATCCTTCCCTCTTTTTCCTAATAAACATTCTCTCACATTTTCCTGTTTATTTCAGGTCTTGTCCATTCCTTTATCTCTTTGAAACTCACCATTTTTCTGATTGTCTCCTATTTTATAAAGAAAATAGAAGATCCCACAAGATAAATTCCTCAACTTCTTGCCACCAAAGTCATAGCCTTAATCTAAAATAAACTTCTTCCTTTTCTCCTACTCTACACTGTAATTATTGTCATATATTTTCTTTTTTTTTTTAATTTTTAAAATGTTTTATTTATTTCTGACAGAGAGAGAGAGAGAGAGAAACAGCATGAGCATGGGAGGGCCAGAGAGGGAGACACAAAATCCGAAACAGGCTCCAGGCTCTGAGCTGGCAGTCAGCACAGAGCCCGACGTGAGGCTCGAACCCACAAACTGTGAGATCATGACCTGAACCAAAGTCGGACGTTCAACCAACTGAGCCCCCCAGGCACCCTTAGTCTTTTTCATTTTAAAACAACATTCCAACAATTTCACATACATATTGAAATATTAAAAAAATATGTGATTAAAATAATCAGATTTTGAACATCAGCCTAGCTTTTTCTCTTGTGCTTTCATCTGTGTGTACCAAAAATCTGGATACTTCTATAAAAAAATCACTCCAGTACACTTCAAATTTGGTATATGCTTAAGTGATTGTGACATACCCTTCCCCCTTGCCATCTTGTTTCCATACCTGATCCTCCTGGATGTTTTCTCTCTTCTTAGGTCAACAGCCTTCAAGACTTTATAATTCTACCATTTAAGGGGTGCCTGGGTGGCTCAGTCGGTTAAGCGTCCTACTTTGGCTAAGGTCATGATCTCACGGTTTGTGGGTTCAGGCCCCGAGTCGTGCTCTGTGCTGACTGCTAGCTCAGAGCCTGGAGCCTGTTTTAGATTCTGTGTCTCCCTCTCTCTCTGACCCTTCCTTGCTCACACTGTCTCTGTCTCAGAAATAAAAAAAAATATTAAGAAAATAATTTTAAAAATGTAAATATTTCTAAACTCTACCAGTGTTGTTATATTTCTACTTCCTCCGTATGAATCAAGCCATCAGAGTCATTTCACTAGATTAGTGCTACTGCCTCCTTTACAAATGTCTCAACTCTTCCAGTTGTGTCCACCAATCCATTCCTCACCCTAACATCATCAAAATAAAATTTACCCTTATTAATCTCCTACATAAAATCTTCAAGAGGTTGTCCATTCTGCTCAGATAAAATTTGAGCCTTTTACTGAGGATGCATGCCCCTTCTTGATATAATCTCTCTCTAAATCAAGAACTTCTATTTTATCATGATTTATTTTTTTTCTGCACTTAAAAGCTCACCTTCTCCTATTCAGAAATATCCAATGTTGCATTCTTCTCAAATGTTCAGAGAGAGATTTTTTCAGAGGATGCTCTTCCCTTGACAGTTTTCCCAGATGATTCCATTTTACTGTTCAAGCTTATTCTTATGTCCTACTAATGTCCCTGCTACATATTCTCATAATGCTCTAGACTATTCATTTGATAATTGATGCTGTCATTGCCTAATAATTCTGTTTCCTTTATTAAGTTCTTAGGCTTCTATATTGATACCTCATTTCACTTGGTCATTGAAGAATTTTCAGTACCTAGCTTATTACCTTGCATGTAGATTGGGATCAATATATTTGTTCAAAGTAGTCTCTAAATCTTAGCAAGATTACTAATTTATATTCAGAAATTATGATTAACATATTTTAAATGAACATGATCATCCATAACTTTTAATTCTAGGAAAGTTATAATTTTACATTTTCCATATGCATATTTTAAGGTAATGTATTAGTTATATGAATTTATATTTTTTAGATTTATAATACAACTGAATTTTCAAAGAGGGAATTTACAACTCAAATTTAATTTCTATATGATCTAGAATGGCCATTAAGAAATTGGACTTAATATAAACATTTGATATGAATTAACAAATTAATTGCATCACATAATGGCATAATTCATTTAACAATATTTAACTGACAGTCAAGGTATAGTAAAAAATGACAGGATTTTGAATCCCTAATATATTCTTATATAATCTAACTCAATCTTCTGTACTACCATGTTAATTTAATACAACTGTTAATTCCATTAAATGAATATATTTAATATATTCTTATCTGTAAGACTGAGGGAATTAAAACCCATGTGGCCTTAAAATATAGACTGAATAAATAACATAATTGGAATCAAAAGAGCATATTTTTCCATTACACCATTTATCTTCTTTTCATAATTTAACTTTTGTTGTGATGATAACTTTTTTTAAGTTAATCAAAGACTAGAGTAGTTTACACAGAGAAAACCCTCAGTGAGTTGTAGTTACTATTTTTTTTTAATTGGGTCAATATCTTAAATCTCAAAGATTGTTGTTTTGTTTTGTTTTGTTTTGTTGGTAGTGGTAGTATTATTACCCCCCTCTGGGAGTAATGATGCCTTCCCCACAGAGTTAATACCATGGTCCCCCCTTTCATACCAGGGGTGAGTGATGAAAGAGAAGTAATGACATAATACCTGTACTTACCATTCTTTTATTATTCCACTTTATACTTCCTTTCCCTCTTTGCCTACTATATTCCCACAATTCTACAGAAGTTGGGTGAAGTGGTATCATTCTAGTTTAGTTATTAACACAACAGAATTTTCTAGAATCTCTTGTATATCTGGGAGTTCCTACCTCTTGGATTAGAAGACTATGGTTTGCACATTATGGCTTATGTTTGTATGAAAATATTATATGAACATTATATTTAAACCGCCTTTGTTCTTGTTTTATGGATGGTGTTTTTAAAGCATTTTTCTAAACATAATCAGAGAGCAATACTTATATCTGAAGAAAATTAAAACCATCCATAAAGGATCTTAATTATTGCTTTATTTCAGTTTTGTTGAAGCTTGGTGAAAAGAGAGCATACAAAAGATTGCAGCAAATTGCTATAATAATTATGTAACAATAAAAATTTTTCAGAAGCAGGTAATTCTATAGGGCAGGATAAGATGCAATATATCTTCACCACATTTTTTTCTGGCTTTGTTTCACAAAGTGCATAGGTGGTGGCAACATAGTCTTTGCAGAAACCAGCTTAGAATTGTCAATATCATTAAGTAACTTCGCTAACAATGTATGTTTTTATGTTTAAAGGGATATTTAAACCAGTTGAACACTACTGTTTCCTGATCAAAATCCACTTGCATTTTGGGAACAGAAAAACTGCCAGTTGCTGGGAATCCTTGAACAAAATCTCTGCTTGCAAAATTTTCAGCAATATTTTCAGCCCATTTTGCAGCGATTCTTTATGACAATTTTCATGAGAGACTGTAAAATACAATTGCCCAAAATGATTAACAAATCAATTATGCTTCTGAGCCTAGTGGTTCTTCATAGCACATTTATAAATGGAAAAAAAACATGTAAATCACAATTTGTGGAAGAATGGCATACACAACCGTTATCATATATGGTGAATTGGACACTAACAGAAAACATCTGCCTGGACTTCTATGGAGATTGCTTGTTTGGGGATGTAAATGCTAAAATGAACACTTCAGGCAATCAAGTTATTCCCCAGATTTGCCCTTTACAAATTCAATTGGGAGACATCCTTATAATTTCTTCTGAACCATCTCTTGAAACTCCAGAAATAAATTTGATGAATGTTTCTGAAGCATCATTCATTGACTGTCTGCAAAACACCACAACTGAAGATCAGTTACTTTTTGGTTGCAAACTAAAAGGAATGCATACTGTTAATTCTCAGTGGCTGAGTGCTGGGACACATTATTTTATCACAGTAACAGCAAGTGGTCCATCACTTTGTCACCTGGGGCTACGACTAAATGTGACAGTGAAGGAACAGTTCTGCCAGGAATCTCTGAGCTCAGAATTTTGTTCTGGGCATGGCAAATGTCTTACTGAAGTTTGGAGCAAGACATACAGTTGCCATTGTCAGCCTCCATTTTTTGGAAAATATTGCCAAGAGTTTGATCCAAGTTCTTATAAACTATGTGAAAATAATGGCAGTTGCATTAACAAAAGAGGAAAATTGGATAAGCAAGGATATGAATGTATCTGCTACCCACCATTTACAGGTAAGATTCTTTTAAAGTAACATAATTCTTATTAAAATAGGAAAATAAACTGAATTCATAAACTGCTACTTTCCAAAAACCAAACTACATTTCTGAAAAATTTGTAGATTTTTTAGAATGGGCTAAATTTGGATTCTGGAAACACAAAATTCCCATTAGGCATTCTTTACTTTCTTTTCTTTTTCTTTTCCTTTTTTTTTTTTAAAATTTAAATAAGTGGTTTTTTGTTTGCTGGTGGTTTTTTGTTTGTTTTATTTTAAAGAAAGATAGAGCATGCTAGCAGTGAAGAGGAGCAGAGGGAGAGAGAGAGAGAAAGAAAATCCCAAGCAGGCTCCATACTCAGCCCATAGCCCTGTGTGGGGCTCAATCCCATGACCCTGGGATGATGACTTGAGCCAAAATCAAGAGTCGGTGCTTAACCGACTGAGCCACCCAGTGCCCCTAAAATTTTTTTAAAAGCACATATGTTTCACCCTGAAATATCTATTTTCACATATTTCCCAAAATTCATTCTTAATGTCTCATGTAGTTAAAAAACCCATTATTGGGGTGCCTGGGTGGCTCAGTCAGTTAAGTGTCTGGTTTCAGCTCAGGTCATGATCTCATGGTTCATGGATTTGAGTCCTGCATCGGGCTCTGTGCTGACAGCCAGCTCAGAGCCTGGAGTCAGTTTCAGATTCTGTGTCTACCTCCCTCTCTGATCCTCCCCTGCTCACGCTGTCTCTCTCTCTCAGAAATAATTAAAAACATAAAAAAAATTTTTAAACCATTATTGGAATAATATTAGTCATAGAATGAAATTGGTTTAGGGGGCTTCAACAAGGTTTTTCCTGCATGTGCCCGGCAAGACTCCATTGTAGCCAAGTTTGGAAAGGCTATCTAATAAAATGGAATGGAATATCTCAATAAATCTTTGTAGGCTCTAAAATTCACCTAAGTCAATCTTTCAGAGTAATTTTAAACTCTATAGTAAGGAAGTACAAAGACTATTTCAAAAGTTAATCCCAGAAATATCCACTGAACACCCTCTCTCTATAACTGGGATCAAATTCTCATTTGACCCTTACTGGCATCAGTTAACAAAAATGTAAGTAACTTTGACCCTCCCCAGTAATTAAAATTAAGACAGGTCAGCAAAAAGTGAAAGCACTCAAATTGCTGATTTGGGGCACATGAAAAAGCAATGTGAGAGCTCTTAAAGCATAAATTTTAGTTTGTCCAAAGAATTTTAAAGAATATTTAGGCAGAAAATTTCTATCATCTATTGGAATATTAATTGGCACATGTATTATCATATACCATGGAGTTCTAATCCAGTGGTTTTATCTTAGTTGCATAGAATGGTTTGTTTCTACCCAATGTTTATTTGTTTATTTAATAGAAATAAAGCCATAGATAATTTAAACCATTAAATGTCAAACACCATAATACTGAGCACTAACATAATGCCTCTTTAATTATAATTGCTTTGATTTTAAGTCTCAGATGATATAGAAATATGTAGAGGTACTAAAGAAATTGAGAATATTAACTGTATTAATTTTCTAGTGATACCATAATAAAAGTACCATAGTTTTAGTGACTTCAACAACAAAACTTTATTTTCCCCCATTCTAGAAGCTAAATGTTAGAGATTATGTCCGCAAGACTGGTTTCTTCTGAGGCCTCTCTGCTTGGTTAGTAGACAGCCATGTTCTCCCTGTATCTTTCCTCTGTATATGTCTGTGTGATCCAAAATTTTTCATCTTATAAGGACATGGGCCACATTTGATTAGGTCCCACCTTAATGACCTCATTTAATTTTTATTACCTTTCTAATGATCTTGTCTCCAAATATAATTACACTGTGAGATCCTGGAGGTCAGGATTTCAACATATGAATTTTGAGGGCTATTTGTCCCCTTACACTAAGATTGAAGTAGATTATGACCTATTGAACATTTTATTGTTAATTTAGTTTTTCTACATGGAAATATTTGGCAAAGAATTCTATTTACATAAATTTTCGTTGTGTTGGGGGTTTCCTGGAGGTAAATGAAGGAAGAAGAGTTCTGTATTAGTGAGGCAGAGATGTCAGTCTATAAAGAATTTGAAAGGAATCAGTGATGATGCCAAAACCTGCTTACAAATTAAATTAAAAATTCACTTAGAATGGAGGGGTGCCTGACCTATTGAAAATTATGTACACCTGTTTTATAGTAACATGTGTCCATTTGCCATGCCCTTGAATTTCCTAGGCATATTCTTCTACAAAGGATATTATGAGCCAACTAACTGCAGAGAAAAGTATTGTAAGAAGGTAATGGTATATGGTATTGTAGGATCACAATAGTGTGTATAGGTGAGATTTAGAAACTTGACAGAGCAGCAAGGGCAGGAAAATGTAGAGTTTAGAAGTTTGTGCATAACTTCTAAGAATCCAATATCTTTTTCTTTTTTATCCCCATATTTTTAGATTTTATTATTTTATTTTATTTTACTTTATTTTATTTTACTTTATTTTATTGTATTGTATTGTGAAAAGAACACTTAATATGACATTTGCCCTCTTAACAAATTTTTAAGTGTACAGTATATTAATGTTGACAGTAGGTACAATGTTGTATAGCAGATATCTAGAGCTTATTCCACTTGTTTGACTGATAGTTTATGCCTTGGTTCCTCTTCAGATAGTGTCAGTCTTTCACATATTCCTCTTTGGAATTATCACCTTGGCTAGGTTATAAGACTGAGACAGTGTACTTTTGAATGTGTCACTTTGTAAATTACCACTGCAGTGCTACTACTCTATGTTGAAGAACATATATTAATATTATCTACTGTCAAAACATGATTAACAAATTCAAATTATCATGAAAATCAACTAAATCTCAAATATCAAGAATCAGAAAAATATTTGAATACATAGTGGGGATCAAAAGATGGAAAATAAACCAAATTTATTGAAATTTATTTTTGTTTCAATTTTTTTAAAGTAGGTGTGATGCTCACTGCAAGACTCACTGAGGGCCCTAACCTACCATCACAAAATCGTCTTCGAGATCAAGACCTGAATTACATCAGGAGTCAGACACTTAGCAACTGAGCAACTCAGACACCCATTTGTTTCAGTTTAAATACATCACCATGGCAGGGCCCCTGGGTGGCTCAGTCTGTTAAGTATACACGTGTGTATATATACATACATACATACATACATCCTCATGGAGTATTATTTATTAATTAGAATTACATTTGGTCAAAAATTTGATCATGATTTTTAAAGAATTTGAGGGAAATTGATGACCATAGTTAACTATATACAATGTAAATATTTTTAATTTAGTTGCAAAATTAATTTATTTTCATTTATATAGGCATAAATTATTCAGAAATTATTGGCCAATGTCAACCACATATCTGTTTCCATGGGAATTGTGGCAATATTACTGCAAATAGTTTCATCTGTGAATGTGATGAACCATTTTCAGGTAAGAAATGTGTATATAATATGCATATATACACGCATACAAATCATTTTAATTTTGTTTTATACATTTCAAATTAAATTTGAAATGTTGCCTTTATTACTGAAAAATGCCTTTAAGCAGTGATGTCTCCAGCTACAATTAAGTACTCTTCAGAACAGTTTCATTTCTAATAACAGTCTTTTCAAAGAAAATTATTGTACCTTTATATTTGATCTCTATAAATAAAAGGAAATTCTAAAAACATACTTAATTTGATTATCTGAACATTACCAAATAATATAAGCAGAAGCTGTGTTTAGACATATATATCTCTAATAGTATGTTGCTAATATTTTTTATGAAGAATGAATATTTTTCAATGTGGTCTTATTTTATTTTTTATAAAATTATACCCAAAGTTCATTTATGATTAATAAACTTGAAAATGTTCATGCCTTCAATTGACATTTAATTATGCCATTCTTAATTGAGGATATTTTCACTGTACTGTTGAGGTTTCCTGTTTTTCTCAAAGGAAATTTGCTAAATGAAAAGTATCATCAATTCAATTGTTTTATTTTTGTTTTTGTTTTGTGTTTTCTTTTGTTTTTTTGTTTTTGAATAAAACATATAAATTAGGCTTTCTCATAGGAGCCATATTTCTATCTTGTTTCACATTATTTTCTTTGACAAATAGTTTCAAACTTATCTCATGAAATAAATGATCTCCACATATGAGTTCTTTGAATGTTTGGCTAATCTTAGGTACTGAAAAGTTGTAGGATTTCTCAAATGATTTACATTATGTTCTAATAAATAAATTTAGCCATGAAATATAGGATCTCCCTCAAATGTTGCTTTCCACAAGTCCAGTTATTCATTCCAAAGCACATTAGAGTACTTATATAATTGTGCACTTTTGAACTTACTGAATATGGTGTGTGACGACTGTATTGTGTTATGCAAGAATAAACTTTAATGTCTTTTTAAAAATAAGGACCACTCACTGAAACTTTCAAAACCTGACATTTTGTGTGATTAATTTACTAAGTTATTTGATTAAATGCTTGTTACTGGGGGCGCCTGGGTGGCTCAGTCAGTTAAATGTCTGACTTCGGCTCAGGTCATGATCTCACAGTTTGTGGGTTCGAGTCCCGCGTCGGCCTCTGTGCTGACAGCCAGCTCAGAGCCTGGAGCCTGTTTCAGTCTGTGACTCCCTCTCTCTCTGACCCTCCCCTGCTCACGCTGTCTCTCTCTCTCTCTCTCTCAGAAATAAAAAAAATAATAATTCATTAAAAAAATTAAATGCTTGTTACTGACTGAACAAGATGCAACCAAAATTTAGAGGGTTCTTTCACTAAAATGTCAAAATTTCTCAGAGGCATTTGGGTTTATTTTCAGTCACTCTTCAGGAGCTTAAACATTTCTAAACTCCAAATGTTAATGGACAGCAGCAAAAGAAAGTACATACTGCCTTGTTACACTTTTTTTACTCCTCATATCAGCTTTGTCAAGAAAAATTTTCTGGACCAATGAATATTTAAAATTATTTATAAAGTTGCAACTATACATTCTGTTTCAATTGTGTGTATATCACTAATTTTTTATTAAAATATGAATAATGTGTGCACTACAGTAAATTTCAAGTATATTTCCTTTCCAAATGGTAATTTGGCAATTGGGGGGAACTGATATCTTGGCAACATTCTGTCTTATGCTCTATGAGTGTAAACTGCTGCTACCATGTGCAAACTAGGATGACGACTCTATTAGAAAATCTTGGAACATTATAGATTGGGATATTTTTAGTACCTATTTATTGGATTATTCTGTGAATTAAAGCCATAGACAAAAATATATAGGAAACATCATATTTTTAAAATTTGTATGTATGTATGTATACATTGACCAGTCATCAATTAATTTAAATCAAGACTGAAAAGTAATAAGGTGTAGAGTACACTACTCCTACTTTAAAACTAGTGATCATTTAGAAAAAAAACAAATTCCTCATTTTTAAGACATCTCAAATATTATGAGAGTATGAATAAGAATAATTACCATGAGATCAGCTACAATCTCAGACATTATAAAAGTAGAATTAATAAAGATGTAATAAAAAACTGTGTGAAATTACATTCTTCAATTGGAATTACAAATTTAAAATTATTATATAAGATTTATGTATCTATTTTAAAGTGATTTGCTTTAATTTTATCGCTTTGTAAGGTTTATTGCAAAAAACTTAATGTATCTTTTTGAGCAATTCAAGGAACCATTAAAATTCTCATTCTATAGATGGTTAGTTCCTGACTTACTTTCAAACTTTTAAAATATGATTTTGATATAAGAACAAGTGATTGTCAGAAAATAAGCTCTTCAGTCTTTGTTTAGGACTAATTTACAGCTACAAAATTAATTTTAGTTTCAAGATTCAAGAAGCTTTATTGTAAGGCAAGTTGGGATCTCTGTACCTGAGATTTATGATTTAAAGAAACCATGGCATGACATCGAAGGAATAATCAATTTTTCAGGATATTATAATCTCAGGTAATAAGAGATCTAATCTGTCTAGTGGAGGATACTGTGAGACATTTCGTTAGTTTAAATCAGTTTAAATCAGAAGGTGGGCAGAATATTTTCCAATATAAAGTAGCTTTCTCCATTTTCAAAACCCCTACCAGTAAGTAGAATTTATGGAAAATAGTATTTTGTTCATGGACAGGAAAGCTAGCAGGAGCTAAATCAGATATAACATTTTTCATTTTTAATAATTGAACTTTGATCCTATTTCAAACTCAATTCCGATAAAGGTTGGGAAATTAATCTCAGTCAGTTGAACTGTAGTTCTAACACCCTGCCATGTAGAGAATTGAACTAGTCCTTCTTCTCATAAGTGTAAATTGTTAAATATTGTGAATAGTTAATCATATCACATGAACTGATAGCTACTCTACCTGTACACTCAACTCTGAGGCTTAGTATTCCTAAGACTTGGAGTTAAAATTACGGCAAATATTAACACAAGTAAATCTAACACATTTACTAATGTACATAATTTTTTAGATGTTGACTAGGAAAGAGTTCATGTACTTTCCTCTGGATAGTTATTATTTTTACATTATCAGACTTCATTTTGTGGTATTTTTCTTCTTGATTCTCTGGTCACTGTGATCATTATCAGCATTGATGGTGACCTATGCTACAGCATAATGCACAGTAGCATAACACTAAAAAGCAAAGGTTCTGTATCTAATTATTAGTATGCATGATTTACTTCAATACCCACCCTACTCCATCCTGATAAAAAACTGATTAGTTTTTTATCTTCTGATTAGTCTTCTTTTTTGTGATCATCCTCTTTTGATTGACAAAACAATGAATCCAAGTATTCCTCATCCCACTATAAGTTGTCTGGAGACAGTCTGTGTGTCCACTAATTATCTATCTATATTATTCGCTTTGTAAATAGTAATTACTGGTAATTACAGGTCTTAGGATGATCATGAAGATTTTTGTTTTTTATGTTGACAGATGAGAGCATAAATTGATTACTAATGAAACGGCTTTGAATGCTCAATAAAGTGTATAATGTAGCTAAAATCATAAAACATATCTATTATGAGACTTTGACTTTTTTTTACTATTGAATAAATGTAATAGTTAACTACTATTTATCACATGCCTTTCTTTTTACCAGAAAACAAGTACATTAAATAGTTACTCTCATCTCTATTTAATGTTTGAGAAAATGGTGGAAATAAATATATAACTTGGATTTTTCTTTTTTTTACTCTAATGATATTGATCTTAAGTCAATATGTAATGTTACTGCTCTGGTTTGTTCAGTAAGAAGTTACTTAAATATTTAACAGTTTGTCAATGTCAATATATATTTGTATAGACACATAGTATCTTATACATCTTGAGAACCAGTAAGGCTTACTTGATTTGCCATTAAAAAAAATGTTTCTTTTAATATTTATTCTTTTTCGAGAGACAGAGTGTGAGTGGGAAAAAGTCAGAGAGAGAGGGAGACACAGAATCTGAAGCAGGGTCTAGTCTCTGACCTATCAGCACAGAACCTGATGTGGGGCTCAAACTCACAAACTGCGAGATCATGACCTTAGCCGAAGTTGGGCACTTAACCAACTAAGCCACCCAGGCACTCCTGCTTTGCCATTTTTAAGTTGTCTTGCTTCATTGATTTTCATTTAATTATCCATTTTTTTCTTTTAATTTAGAGATAATTCATTGACTTGATAATATTGCCTTCTGACCTTTATTATTTCTCATACAAAGTCAGTTACTTGTATTATTGTTTCCTATGGATATGTCTTTTTTTCTCTAACTAATTTAGTAATTTTATATTTACTATTTTATATTTACATGCATAGCCATGGTTTTCTTTGTATTTGTCCTCGTAGAGATTATCATACTTCTTGGATTTGTAAGGTAATGTTTTTCACCATGTTTGGAAAATTCCAGAACATTTTAAATTATTTTTTACTGTTAAAATCTCTTTCACTTTTTTTCTACAATTCCACATTTGGTAGACATCTTATTATTTTCCTGGTTGTCACTCTGGCATAATTCATTTTAGAGCAATTTTTTTTTCTCCTTGTATCTTTCCTTCAAGGTAATTTCTATTGTTTTATTTGTTAGTTTTGTTTACTGATGCTTTCTAATTCTGGCTAGTGTTGTTCACTCTTCAAGGACTTTGTGTAGTGCGTGTGTGTGTGTTTAATATTTTTAAATTAAGATACAATTGACATATAACATCATATTAGCTTAGTTTCAGGTTTACAGCATAATGATTTGATATTTGTATATATTGTTAAATGATCAACCACAATAAATCTAGTTAACTTCCATAACCATACATAGACTTTCTTTTTCTTGTGAAGACAGTATGTTTTTATACAGTTTTATTTTCTGTGAGAAAGTTCATCTGAAAATAGCTATGCACAGTAACACGAAGTTACACAATCACCAAAGTGAATATTTATCTCAAGTGCTCT